AATAAAATAGCTCTGAAACATTATTTCGCACATATGAAACATGTGAAACGTCTGAGTGAATCTACTTATACGTGCATAGAACGTAATTACAAACGTAATCTAACGTAATTTAACCGTTGCCGCGAGGGAAACGCTTATGTTAATTTACAACCGATGTTTATCACCGATGTTTCTCGGAAGATACGCCGAAGGATATTTGCCTCACGTTGCGTAATTCCCTACGCAGGATTTCTGCGAACGTTCTGATCGAATTTGATATTGATATTCGTAATATTTCGAGCGCGGTTTTCCGGAAGCGCGACACGTAGTACTCGGTTTTCCACGTTGATCGACGACACGTTGATAATTACACGCTTGGTACAAAAATACTCGTCGCAACGGTGATGTCACCGCGAATTCGAAGTGACACGAGAAAGTATCAATATTAAGCCGTCTTGTTAGCATGTCTCCTGCGTCTTGTAAAATGTAAATCAACGTGTAATAGAGCTGTTCCTGCTAATTCGACTCATATTGAATTTTCAGAGACAAGTCAATTACAGGCAACAGAGGTAGAAAGATTTCGAATCGATGATAAATTGTTTGATAGTTGTGCTTGAGGTCAAAACAAGTTTTTAAGATTGTCAAGCAAAGTTATTAAAAACGAATTTGTATATATATTATACTGTATATATTAAATGTATATCAAGTATGTTACATTACGTATATACTGTATAATTTGTATCATAGTATCATACAAGTATCACAAATAGTACACAATATCATGTAGTATTATTACTTGTATTGTATATCATAGTATCACAGGGAAAATAAGTGATTTTAATATCGTTTTACGATATAAAACTTGTCTACAAAATTTTTTAACATCAAAAATAAAAAAGAGAGAAACAAACATTTTATCTGTGTATAACAACGTCAAACTTTAAAGTTGCTCTGCGACAAGAAATAAAAGTGTTTTTTTCTTCCTATTCTTCCTATAGGTCTTATATTGGTGTTCTATAATTACCGTTACTGATATTTATATAACATACACAATAGTTACTATTTGTATAACAACTCTTGTACTGTTACTCTATAATTATATTGTGCATTATATCGCGTTATGTATTAGATTAACTACAGCTTATTATTAGACTGATTTATCAATAGCCTATATTATTAATCTTCGTGTTGCGTACTCGCGGTAATTTTCATTCATGGCTTGACCACCGACACATCGGTAAAACCGAACGTGAAAGTCTTCTCTCAACAGTTCCAAAGTGCAGACCTTGGTTGTATTTGGACAAGTTCGCGTCACCGATTACTCAACTTTCTCGGTGAAATCTGATCAAGTTCACTAGATTCCCCGGCACACGTACTAATCCCTTTCAATCGGATGCATTGATCCGTAATGCAACAAACGAGTCATCGATAATGATTGCCGTATGTAAAGAGAGAAGAGTTTCGAAACGAGGAAACGAGGATTTTTATCGATTACGAAATTCCGACTTTTGAACGTCGTTTCTTTCTTCAACATCGTTTTCATCGAACTTCATTTCTTCAACGAGCCGTACTTTACGGGAAACAACCTTCTAGGAATTCTAATTGGAAGAATCCCGAGTTGCATCAGTAGCATAACAGCTAGATTGGAAATTTCTGTATACTACGATGTGCTTTCTTTATACTACTGTGTTAGATAATACGTACTCATGCTCATTTCATATACGAGGTGAGTCATTCAAGCATT